CTTCTTCCTCCCTCCTCCCCCACAGATACCCTCCCTTGTCCTGCCCCATCCAGTTTGCTGCTTCCCCGGTAGCTCTTCCCCAATCCATCCTTACCATGGATCTTTCCCTCTCTAGATTTCCCCAACCCCTCTTCCCCACCCTGGATGAGCTGCCCAGGATACTGGCCGACTCCCTGCCCATCGCACTGGTTACCTTTGCCGTGTCTACCTCCCTGGCCTCCATCTATGCAGACAAGTATAGCTACACTATTGACCCCAACCAGGTGTGACTCTGATTGTGGTGCCAACCTTTCCCAGAAACGGCCCCTTAGCCTTGCTCTCCTGTGCCTTTGTCTTTCCCCTCCTCACCCCACTGCATCCTCCTAGGAACTCTTGGCTCATGGTGTCTCCAACCTCGTTTCTTCTCTCTTCTCTTGCTTTCCCAACTCGGCCACACTGGCTACAACCAGCTTACTAGTGGATGCTGGTGGGAACACACAGGTAAGAGGGAGTCCTTGGGTGAGGAGAAAGGATGCAAAATTTGGGCAGGGGTGGCAGCACAGAGTGGGGGAACAGGTGGATACCCCAATAGCATCTATATATTAGAAGATGGGAGTGAGAGAAGGGATTATAAGGAGGAGGATTAGAAAATGAATGTAGCTCACGAGGACCTCTGTAGGCTGTAAGCACTGATGAAAGCTATGGTGCCTCAGACTAATTAAAAATATAAACAACATGCCCTACAATGGTGGCGGTGGTGGCTCACACCTTTAATCCCAGCAGTTGGGAGGCAGAAGACGGGCGGATCTCTCTGTGAGTTCTAGGCCAGCCTGGTCCAGAGTTGTTACACAGAGGAAACCCTGTCTTAGAAAGCCCAATATATGGATTGGAGAGATAGACGGCTCAGTGGTTAAGAGCACTGTCTGCCCTTCCAGAGGTCCGGAGTTCAATTCTCAGCAACCATATAGTGGCTCACAACCATCTGAAATGAGATCTAGTGCCCTCTTCTGGCTTGCAGGCAGACATGCAGGCAGAACTCTTTACATATTAAATAAATAAATCTTTAAAAAAAAAAAAGTATCTGAAGTAGCTGTATGTTGTATTACATACCCAGAATCCTGAAGACTGACGAAAGCAGGGAGACCTAGGGCTCCAGGCTGTCTGGGTTACAAGGAGACTGTTTCAAAGCAAAACCCACTGTGCTGGTGAGACAGCTCAGTGGATAAAGTGCTTGCTGAACAAGTGTGAGGACATAAAGTTCACACTCCCAGCTCCACGGACGTGGTGACCTGTCTTGAAGATGGGGATGGGGTGCCCTGGAGCAACCCCATATCAGTGACCTCTGGGTTCAATTGAGAGACCCTGCTTTTCTAAATAAGTTTTTTTTCAAGATTTTCTTTATTATGTATACAACATTCTGCTTTCATGTATATCTGCACACCAGAAGAGGGCACCAGATTTCATAACAGATGGTTGTGAGCCACCATGTGGTTGCTGGGAATTGAACTCAGGACCTCTGGAAGAGCAGTCAGTGCTCTTAACCTCTGAGCCATCTCTCCAGCCTGAGACCCTACTTTTCAATGTGCCAGAGGAAGTGTAACAAAGATTCCTAGTGTCAGATTCTACAAGAACCAGGGCACAGGTGTGTAGTCCTTGCACACACACACACCCCGATAAATGTAGGAGATAAACTTCTGGCATTTTTCCATAAGGACCTCTAAAAAAAAAAAAGAAATATTACACGTCACTCTTCCCCTAGCTTTTTTGTTTGTTTTCCTTATTTTGTTGGTGCCCTAAGTCGGTGGCTAGCCTGCTTGTGAAGTCCAGCACCAACTGGACCTTTTAAGATGGAGAGGAGGGCTACAATAGCAAGGTTGAACTGTATACATCTGGGAGAGGTGGGCAAATGATAGGCATTTAGCTGGGGAGGGGCCTAAGTATGACTGGCAGAACCTCAGGAAGGGCGTGAGCAGGGCATATATGTGTAGAAGGAGGTGGGAGACTTCTGAAGCTGAGACAGCCTGGGTGGGTGACTAGCTCCCACACAGGTGGGGGTGGAGGAGGTTCTCCCTTCCTTCCCTCGCCTGTGTCTTTCCCTGCAGCTGGCTGGCCTCTTCTCCTGCATCATTGTCCTGTCGGTGCTGCTGTGGCTGGGGCCTTTCTTCTACTATCTGCCCAAGGTAGGGAGGAGAAGAGGCACTGTGTGACTAAGTGGAACTGGCTCGATTCCAGAGCCTTTGGACAAAGGCCTATTCTGTGTTTCAAGGCTGTCCTGGCTTGCATAAATATCTCCAGCATGCGCCAGATGTTCTTCCAGATCCAGGAACTGCCGCAGCTATGGCACATCAGCCGTGTGGACTTTGTGAGAAATGGCATTACCCCAGGGTGTCACTCCCAGCATCCCCTGCTTCTGCCCTGGCCCAAAGCTGATCACTCTGGTCTTAAGTTCTTTAACCCAGACACCCTCCAACACACAGACCTCATGCAAATTTCTGAGCAAAGGAAGAGATTGGGATTTGAGCTCATTGGACCCGAGTGTTTGTTTGAGGGCATTTATGGTGGTTGTGAAGACTGAACCCATGAATATTAGCAGAGTTCCTTATCACTCAACTCAATACCCCAACTCCAGACCCCTGAATTCACACAGGGTCTGACGTTATTGTATTTGATGTGCATACTCTTAAGTAACACGCCCTTCCCTCTGCCATGCTTCCTTCCTCCTGGATCATCTTTACTCATCTTTGTCCTGAATCTGTGTTTCTTCTGGGAAACCCACCCATATCTGTGTCCTTCAGACTGTGTGGATGGTCACATGGGTGGCAGTAGTGACGCTGAATGTGGACCTGGGCCTGGCTGTGGGTGTAGTTGTCTCTATGATGACGGTGGTCTGCCGAACTCAGAGGTGAGCGGTAGCGATGGGTAGAGTTGAAACGAAGGGAGGGAGAGAGAATTCTGGGAGTGACTACAGCCAGGCAAGGTTAGGTTGGGAATCTGACCCCAGCTTCTTCCCTAGGGTGCAGTGCCTGGCACTTGGATTGGCTGAGGGGACTGAGCTCTACAGGCCACTCAGAGAGAGCCATAAGGTGGGTGGATAGCAACCAAAGGAGGAAGAAATGATTCTGTAGGGTGATTCTGACTCTTTCACCCTTCAGCTCCTCCAGGTTCCAGGTCTCTGTATTTTGAGCTATCCATCACCACTTTACTTTGCAACCCGTGGGCAGTTCCGCCAAATCTTGGAGTGGCATCTGGGGCTTGGAGAAAGAAGCGGGGTGAGGATTTTGATTAAGAAGGAGTGTGGACCCTCCTTCTTGGGATTGGGAGGCCGTGTGTTCAGAAAGGGCAAGTTGTGCCTGTGATTTGGAGGTGGCAACATTGTTTTTCTCTATTTATGGCAGTCCCCAAAGCTGGGTAGTCTACCTGACAAAGGTGAGACGGGATGACGACGAGGGAGATTTGGTTGTGAACCACAGAGGCGTCTGGGTGCTCCTGCCTCCTTCCCTCTTAGGTGTGGAGCCCATCCGAGTGGCGGTCCTAGACTTCAGCGGCATCCCCTTTGCAGATGCCGCAGGGGCCAGGGAAGTGGTGCAGGTGAGGCGAGGGAGCAGGGAAGCTAGGAAGAACTCCTTGTCATCCCGCTCACACTCCTGACTTGGGCTTTAACCCCTCTGTCTGGTTCTTGCAGCTCACCAGGCGATGCCAGGACGCTGGGATCTGTCTCCTCCTAGCTCAGTGTAATGGTGTGTGGTGTGAAGAATAGAGAGGGGGTGGTGGTGGGCACTGGACACTTGTTGGGAGGAAGATACTGGGTGGATTTGGGGCCCCAACACCTGACACCTTTCCCATACAGCCTTGGTGCTGGAGACCCTGACCCGGGCAGGACTCCTGGATAGAATGACTCCAGAACAACTCTTTGTGAGTGTCCAGGATGCAGCTGCACACGCTCTGGAGAGACTGGTAAGGGCAGGAGCCAGGAGGTGCTGGGCTAGGGTAGGGAGGACTGGCTGAACAGATAAGAATCTGGGAAGAAGAATTTGGAGAAAGGACTGAGGAAGCTCAAGAGGAAAGCAGGGAGATGTCAATTGAAGTGTGTGTGGGGGGTGGGCACACCCTTAATCTCCCAGCACGTGACAGGCACAGGCAGGAGGATTTCTATGAGTCTGAGGCCAGCCTGGTCTACATAGGGAGTTTCAGAACAGCCAGGGATACATAGATAGACCTTGTCTCAAGAAAAAAAATAAATAAATAAAACAAGTTAGGGAGTGTGGGACACCCTTCACTAATGTTGAAGAACTGCGTAAGGTCTCCAAAGAGCTGATATGCTCCCAGAATACTGAGTCCCAGAGATAGATGGTGGTAACCTAATAATCCTGAACTGTCCATTTTCTTCCCCAGAAGCCCACTGGGCCAAAGATTTGTACAGTGTGGGTCTGACCAAGGTCACTTGGAGTGTGAGAGACCCCAACCCTATGTGTGTGAGGAAGGCTACGGCCCTTGAGCCTTTCCCCCCAAAGCAACCAATAAAATGAAGCCAAGAATATCTGCGGTCCATGAAGTGTGTCTAGGAGTCTTCATGTGGACCTCTGTAGTCCTCCCCACACAAGCCCCACCATGCCCAAAGTACTGCAGAGACACAAGTAAAAATGGCTTTCACCGTGTGTTCACCAGCTGCACACAACTCCAGTCACAGTGCTTTCTGTGGGGTATGTTGAAGCCGGTACACACAGTGCTGGATCCAGAGCTGGGTTGGGGTTGCATGTCCCTGGGGTTGCATATTGGGAGTTTCCCTGCCCCCTTGGGAGGTGAGAGTGTTTCCACTTGAGGGTCTTAAGAGTCCTTCTGGGCTCTTTGGCACTTGGAAAGTGAATCCCCCCATTTCCTGACCCATAGGAATGGGGTGGGGGGGGAGGACTTGGCACTGGCTGTGGGGGGGGATATTTATGGCTCTATCAAGCCTCTGGTCACTCACAGAAAGGAAGGGTTGTCACCAGGACAAGCCCATTAGGGATCAGGTCGGTGGAAAGAGAAGGTCAGGGGTCAGGGTTGGAGAGGTTGCTGGGAATTTCCTGGCAGGGACAAAGAGGCAGGCCCAGCCTGACAGTGGGAAGGCCCAAATCCACCATCACTCAGCGGTCATGCACTGTAGCCGGTGTTTGAAAAAGAGCAGGCGATGTTTGGCCACCTGACTTTGGTCCAGAGATCCTGGGTAGCGGTAGCGGGCATAAGTTTCAGCCCCAGCATCCTTTGATGTCCACGGCAGCTTCACCTTCGATGCATGATCCACAACCACATCCGAGCAGGAGCCAACGCGAAGGGAACCAAGGCCATCCAGAAAGAATTCTGGGATGAGGGTGGAGAGGACACACGGTTAGGTTAAGGCTCCCCGGGGTGGAAAAGGCAGATTCCTAGGGAGAACTGAGATCTAGGGCTCAGATGGGCAGCTGTGCAAAAGCTTGGCTGCTAAGGACACTTTAGCGTCTTTCCGTCTATTTAGCTCTTGTGTAAAGTGGAGTTCATTTCAATAAACACCGGATTCACTCCTCTGAGTAGGTCTGAACCTGGGGAAGAAGTTGGCAGTAAGGGTGACCTTGGCAGTGGAGTGGGGAAGTTCAAGGCCGACCTTGAACTGTCTGAGGTGCAAACCGGATGTCGGGCAGAAGAAAGTGGAGGTTTCGGTTTTTTCTTTTTCCCTTTTTAGCTCAGGTGCAGA